TGTAGCTGTGTAGCTCACCCTCCTGACCCCGCCCCTGCACGGGGTGTAGCTGGGTAGCTCACCCCCCCTCACCCCGCCCCCGTCCACCGTGGTCCACACCGCACCGGGGACGACATGGTGACGGCGCGCTAACCCGACGCAAAGGGCGCCCGTTTTAGCGCCTCGAGCTCAAGGAGAAGCGCGGGTGGCGCCCGCCCGTCCTCGGCGCCTCCTATCGGCTTCGCGCCCCCACGGACGTCAGGGACATCATTGCAGTCGCAACTGTACTCTGTGAGTCCATCAGGTACACCCAGAAAAGTATATTCTTGATTTCTCCATGGACTTGAATTTTTGAGTAGAATTTCTCTTGATTTGAGCCAAAATACTTGGTGTAAGAACAAAATTGTTCTTATACCAAGTATTTTGGCTCAAATCAAGAGAAATTCTACTCAAAAATTCAAGTCCATGGAGAAATCAAGAACATACTTTTCTGGGTGTAGGAAAACGCTGGAATGTCTGTCAAGTTCGCCGGCCGACAGCTTTCGCCTCTTAGGCGGGCGACACCTGGTGACGCAGCCTCCACTCTCTAGACAATGCCGCCCGAGTAGCCGAACAACGGCGGCAATAAAACATTGGGAGGGGATGGGGGTGCGGGTCGGTGCGGGGACACCCCGATCGGCCGCACCGGGCCGGGCGCCGGGTGCAGTCCAGCCCGATCCGAGGCTGAGGAGGACCAGGACCAGTCTTGTGCGAGCTCTTGCACAGTGCAGGCCCCCCAGCAGCTGCCGCCCTGCGCCACCCTGTGCGTGACCCTGGATCTACCGAGTTCCACTCTTTGGTACGTTTGTTCGTGTTCTCGGCTTCACGCTAGCGTCGCTCGATGCCGTGTAGCCTGGCGCACTCTGGGGTTGGGTCACTTTGGGCTGTGTAATATCCACATTTTGAAATCGCCATACGATATCGATGTATCGAACAACGACTTGATACATCGAATCTCGATAACATCGATAGTATCGCAATATTCGAGGAACAATGTGTGTGAAAGTCGCCGATATTAGTATCGGGATAGCTTAATACTATCTACAAGCTGGTCCAGACCCCTTCCTTTATTTTGCTTATACTGTACCGCATGCAGGCGTGCGAACGGGTTGCATACTCGCACGGGGCCGTAAGGCGCCCATGGTGAGCGACAGTAGGCAAGCCCGCCCGTACGCATGCATGTGGCACAGTATAAGCAAAATAAAGGAAGGGGTCTGTGGACCACCCTGTATATTGGGAGAATATCGACCCTCGATACCGCGGACAATATCGTCGTGATATGGTGATATCTTTTTTTCTCGGGACTCAAAAATCTTGTGGATGTAGCAGTGTTTGGGGGGCTAATGCGATAAATTTATACCCGTGGTAGCGACACTTTTCCTGAGAGTGCGCCTTCTAAAATGCTCTTATCAAACTCGAAACGCAATGAGAGAGTTGTTCACGCTCTGGCCTGCCTTGCTTGTTGAATTGACTAACACTGCCTGTTTTCTCACACGACAGGCAGATTCATTCGTCGGCAATAGGCGACCAGCGCCATGCCTGTGAAGTGTCAAGTCTGTCCCCAGGAGTGCCGTTCGCAGGCTGCGCTCACCATCCACATGCGCACCCACACCGGGGAGAAACCATTCGAATGCGACGTGTGCCACAAACAGTTCCCTGTGAGCGGCAGGCTGAAGTACCACATGCGAACGCACACAGGTGAAAAGCCTTTCGAGTGCAGCGTCTGCTTCAAAACCTTCCCTCACGCCGGTGATCTGAAAAGCCATCTTCGATCTCACACTGGAGAGAGGCCTTTCGAGTGCGCTATGTGCCAAAAGACGTTCCTACACTCATCCAATCTACGATCACATTTGCGCACCCACACTGGAGAGAAACCATTCCAATGCACTGTGTGCGAGAAGAGTTTCTCTCAATCTTCCTCCTTGGAGGTGCATCGTTTGCGAATGCACTCGGAAGTGCAACCCTTTGAGTGTACTGTGTGTCGCAAGGCTTTTGCGCGGAGTTCGGATCTAAGTATTCACCTGCGTACTCATGATGAGCGCACGAAGGAAAAGTCGTTCGAGTGCACGGAGTGCTCTCGGGCGTTCTCCCGAAAGGACTACCTGGTGTTGCACCTGCGAACCCACACAGGGGAGAAACCATTCGAATGTTCTGTGTGCAAACGACGTTTTGCCCACAGTATAAGTCTGCGGTACCATATGCGAACCCACACTGGAGAAAAACCGTTCCAGTGCAGCCTGTGCCCGAAGGCTTTCACTCAATCTGGCGCCCTCCGAGGCCATCTGAGGACGCACACTGGAGAGAAGCCCCACGAGTGCGGCGTGTGCCACAAGAAGTTCTCTGGGGCCTCCAACCTGAAGACGCACATGCGATCTCACACGGGGGAAAAACCTTTGGAGTGCACCGTGTGCGGGATAAAATGCATACACGGTAGCGATCTACAGAGGCATCTTAGGACACACACGGGAGAGAAACCGTTCAAGTGCAGCGTGTGCTCCAGGGCGTTCTCTGCGTCAGGTTCCCTCACTGTGCACATGCGAACCCACACCGGGGAGAGGCCGTTCCCTTGTGAAGTGTGCGACAAGAAATTTCGCCGAGCTGCACATCTACGTGTACACCTTGTGACTCACACCAACCAAAGGGACTTGAAGTGTACCCTGTGTCCAAAGAAATTCACGACTCCAGTGACATTACGGCTTCATCTTCGAATCCACACTGAAGAGAAACCGTACGAGTGCACCGTATGCGACAAGAAGTTTTCTCACTCGGGCAGCCTGGTTACTCATCTCCGAACTCACACAAGAGAGAAGCCCTTTGAGTGCACTCTGTGCCCCGAGACGTTTACGCGTAGTGATTACCTGCGTGGACATCTCCTTAACCACAATGGAGAAAAGCCCTTTGAGTGCAAAGTGTGCCACAAGAGATTTGTGAGGTCTTCGGCTCTGAGTTCACACCTCCGCCAAATCCACGATAGTGAGAAACCCTACAAGTGCAGTTTGTGCCCTAAGTCGTTTATTAATCTATCTATCCTCGGAGTTCACCTGCGAACCCACACTGGAGAAAAACCTTTCAAGTGCAAGTTGTGCCCCAAAAAATTTGCTCGTAGTAATGGTCTGCGAGACCATCTCAAAAACCACACTGAAGTGGAGCCGTTTGAGTGCTCCGAGTGTTTCCAGATGTTCCCTGAATTTGTTAATCTCCAGGAACATTTTCGAGTTCATATCGAAGACAAGTCATTCAAGTGCACTGTGTGCCTTAGAAAGTTCGCTGAGTCAAGTGATCTTTTGACACATCTTCAAACCCACTTAAAATGAGAATATTATGCCGATTAAGTCTGTCTCACATATAGCATCGTTTTTTTTTTTTGTGAGTCTATTATTTGTCGAATTGGGCTTATGCTGCTTAGTTAGTGACAAGTTGTTTAGAGTTTGTGAAGTTTTTATTTTAAAGGTATTGGCTGATAAAACACATCGGGTTT